CACTACCAGAATGAGGACGGGGCTCTATGTGGTGAGTCTGGATGAGACTATGACCAAAGGGAACACAGTTGAGATGGCACTGAGTAGTGAGGTCTTGGGTAAGCTCCCCTCCCCCCTCTGAAGAAATTAATATAATTTCATTTCCCTATCCCTTTCCCTCCAAGTCTTCCCAATCTCTCTACTTAAACAATTCCATTTGTTCCACTACCAAAAAAAAAAAAGTAAAAGAAGCATTATAGAATTGCATTTTTTCTTACAGAACCACTTTTACTAGGTAAGCTCAAGGAGCTCAGAAAGGGAATATGCTCAATTTAAATTCTGTGATGGGCACAAACTTTGCCTCCTATGTAGGATTAACCTTCACCTTGCACCTGCAAATGTATCACACTTGCCCCAAGACGTAAGTAGGTACCAAAATAAATCATAGAAAACTAAGATGGGGGCGCCTGGGTGGCTCAGTCATTAAGTGTCTGCCTTCGGCTCAGGTCATGGTCCTGGGGTCCTAGGATCGAGCCCCACATCGGGCTCCCTGCTAGGCTGGGAGCCTGTTTCTCCCTCTCCCACTCCCCCTGCTTGTGTTTCCTCTATAGCTGTCTCTCTCTCTCTCTGTCAAATAAATAAAATTTGGGGGAAAAAAAAAGAAAACTAAGATGAAAGGTTCATCACTCATGCCCAATCCATGTGATTATTTGTATATTTATCTGTGTATAAAGTACTAAACCTTGAACACCTCACTAAGTTCCCAGATATTTACCACAATGTAATGAGAGTTATGATATAGTAGTTCTTGAATATGGAATATTTAACTCAAATTCACTTATTTATATCAATCTCAGCAACATGAACATGGGAGGGAAGCTTCAATTTTCCTGTCCTATATCTTCCTCCATCCAACTAGATGATTGCATCATTCTACCCGTTCCTCTGCATAGCCCCAAATGGCAATCAATACCATCAGCTGGAAGTCTCTACCATTATCTGTGTATTTTTTTCAGAATCAAAGACTTGCTCTTTCTCTACTGACCACCTGCCCCCCCGGCTTTATTATTTCTAGTAGTTTCACTGTTCACTTAATGACACAAACTAACTCTCGGATCTTCTTTCACTTCTCTCTTTCTTTTGCTAATCCCACATACAAACACTCAGTCAACTTTAAAAACATGTTCCTCAGTCTATTCTTTATTTTTATTCCCATTACTACTACCTTGGTCTAGATCCTTTGTAGTCTACTCTTTGGCCGTTGAATAACCTCCAAAGCAGTCTCCCTGGCTTCAGGGTTTTTATTTATTTATTATTATTATTAAAGATTCATTTATTTATTTGAGAGAGAGAGAACAAGAGCTTGAACACATGCTAGAGGGGGGTGGGGTGGCAGAGGGAGAGGACCCCCAAGGAGAGCTCCCACCAAGCCTGGAGCCCGAGGAGGTCTTGACTGCAAGACCCAGGAGATCACCATCTGTGAGATCACAGTAAGTTCAAACCTGGAGTCGGACACCCAACCGACTGAGCCACGCAGGCTCCCCCTGGCTTTAGTTTCATTTCACTCCCCCATCAGTCATCCTAGTTTACCACAGGCAGATGGGCCTTCCTTCCTAATAAATGAAGAGATTTAGAAACAAAGGTTCCAGTGACTCACAACAGAAAATATTCGATATATATTTGTGAAATGAAGAATAAGTATTACTCAGAATATCTATCATGGCACTTTGCATATGAGAGACACTCAATAATTAGAATAAATTTTCCAATTGATGTTAATTTTTAATAGATCTTAAAAGAGAAGGTCTGAGTGTACAGAAATCTAAATATTTTCCTCATAAAGAAGTAATCAGAATCAGCTCTTAAAACATGCCTGAACAATATTCCAGCAATGCTCATAGATCTTTAAAAAGATCCTTTTAGAGCAACTTTAGTTCTAACTTTATCATTTTCAGTGAGTTCATGCTCTGCTTAGTTTCATCTAAGGTTTTCCACCAAGTGAAATCTCCGATAGATTCAAGTGTTTCCTCCTAACTCCTGATTCTTTCTGTAACATTTCAGGCATGTTACCATCCTAGCCTGTTTAAATACAAATACACACATATGTATGCACACACACATGTATTTAACAAAGGAATTAATTTTTAAAACACAAAAGTAAAGTTTCATGCTTATTGCAATATTTCATTTAAGTACTCTTTAAAATTTAAAAGCTGGGTAGTTTTATTTATTTTCAGAGTAAATTAGAACTGAAATCCCTCATTAGAATTCTAAATTCCTAAAAGTCAAAACGTAAAAATGACACTAAACCATTTAGTCTATTAGGCAGTTCAATAATTGCTAAAGCCAATTACTTGGGTAATGTAAGTCTCAAAAAGTGAGTATCAAGCATAAAAATAGAGGAAACAATAAAACTACACAGCAAAGGATAGAAAATGGTTTTTTAAAAAATCTCTTTTCTTCAATTTTCATGTTACAGGCTATGCCAGTCATGTATGAGAGTTACATAATTTTCTCTCTCTAGCTAGCGATGACCATTTTCGCAGTGAAGAACGAGTTCCATACAAGGTGAAAAACAGTGTGAATGGTTTTCTAGGGAAAAGTTCTTTGAACAAAGTTCATTTAAGACCATTTACTACCACAGAGATAGAAACCTGCTTCCATTATCCACATTACCAGCACTGCTGCTGTAAGTCCAAAGCACCGTTGCCAAGAGTGATGTGAGTCATTAAGCCCCAAGCAGATGCCAAGACTTGGAAGACCCAGGACATTGCACACTGTTCCAGTGTACCACAGCCCATAACTTCTAGGCAATCAAAGGTCAAATGAAGAGAGCCTGAGTCTACTATTATGGAAGATTATTTGGCACACACTCTCAATTTTTCTGTCTTCCCTGGTGGTCAATAGCATTAACCTGAAATGCAATGCATTTTATACAGAACTTGCCATAGGAAGCATGATTCCTTTAGACAAAACTGGAAAGTGAAGTGCCTCTAACATGAGTAAGTTGCTATTGCATGCCAATTTACTCCTTTGGAATGACCACTGATGCTCTATTTTTAGTGAAAAGAGACCTAATAATTTCACTGGTCCCAATCCTCATATCAGCACAATCTGGTCTCTGTACAAACAATATGAACACAGAGAACATCCAGTCAGAAAGAAACACAGCACCTCATCTTACCTCCTCACAGACAGAGCCAGAAGGGATAGGATATGAAAGGGAGAACCATAGACTGCTCTTTAAAAGCTGCATCCTAAATGTGAGCCAGAGGAATGAATACTTATTATGCTGACTTTCAAAAGAAAATATTTAAAATTTAAGAAGTGATGAGACAGAAACAGAATGGCAAACATACAAAAATCCATCACATAATTTAATGGTTTTTAGTATCCTCAGTCTTTCCCTCGTAACTTTTCCCTTTCTCTCTTCAAACAAGTTACTACTTTATTAAAAAACAATTTTCAACTCATACTACCAGTAGTACTAACAACCCTTCTCTCTGTTTCTAACACTAGAATTCTGCCTTCTTTTATGCCTTCTTTCCTCACTGTTTTCTCTTAGAACTCCGTATTCTAGCCGTACCAGGCTAGGGACAATTTCCCAGTGGGGCCCACTCTTTCATTCCTGGCCTTTGCAAATGATGCTCTCCCACTTAAAAGGTTTTCCATGCTCACCTTCATTTCTTAACTAATTCATAATCAATCACTTCCTCTACCAGACCTATTATGACCATCCATTAGATTCAACTTCTATAAATTTCTGTTGTATCCTATCCTTATTTCTATTTCATCATTTTTCATGCTGTATTTTACTTGTCGTTCTTATTTGACTCAATATTATTATTTTCTCCTTGAAGATGGAAACTGTCTTTTATCTCTCTATCTCTGACCTGAGCATAGTCCCCAGCATGCAACACTTACTGGATACCTACTGAATAAATAGTACAAATAAATAAAATGTATCCAAAGCAATGATTTCACTTTTGATCCAGAAATTTAGTCTCTAGGAATTTACCTAAAGTAGTCAATTATGGAACTATACAAACATGTTGGTACAAATAGGGGAACTAATTCCATGGTACTGTCTTAAGTCTTCAGCTTGGTGGTGGATATATGTGTGTCTGCTACATTTTCCTTTATGTATTTTTATATATCTGAAATACATCATAATTTTAAAAATTAAAATAAAAATATAAGGATATAAATAAAAAGCCACACATGAAAATATTATTTACAATAGTGAACAATTAGGAAAAACTAAAGTACATTTTAATAGAATATGGATAAAACTGTGATATATGAATATAAATTCAGTCTACATATGTATTAAAAAGGATAGTTTAAATGTCTTTCATGGAAAAATGACCACAATATATTATTCAGTGGGAAAAACAAGCAGATTACAAAATACAAATTATAATATGACCCCATTTATTTTAAATTGTGTATTAATACAGAAGATACCTTAGAAATTTTTTTTTCTAAAAGATTCACTTGTGATTCATTCTGGGTGGTAGGATTTCAAAGTATACATATTCAATGCTAAGTATAATTTAAATGTTTTAAAAATAATTTATTTTAATATTCACAAAAATATTGTTTTCATTTAGAAAACAATTCCTCAAAATACTAAGTAATCATTTTTTATATTTCTTTTCAAAATCAGAAGGAATCTAGAGGATGTTTATTACTATTTTTGTTGGTTTATTTTGATTTTCTTTGTTTTAAAATAGTTAATGATCTAGGAGTGCCTGGGTGGCTCAGTTGGTTAAGCATCCAACTCTTGATCTCAGCTCACGTCCTGATCTCAGGGTCATGAGTTCAAGCCCCACATGAGTTCAAATCCTGCAATTAAAAAAAAAAATTAACAATAGTTAATGACCTAGAGTTAAATAATAAGGCAAGGAACACATAGCAAAATTTTATTTTTTAAAGATATATACAATTTTTTATTCTTTCTTCTATATGTTACAATCAGAACGCAAAGTTAAAAAAAAAAGGAAAGCAAAGTTTTTCTATGTTCATATATTTTCTACCCATATTATGGAGAGAGAAAGATGCAAGTGAAGAGAAAGCAGTTGATGAGATAGAATAAGGCTGACATATAAAGATAGAACAGGAATTCTCAAATTTATTCAGTCTCATTTCTCTTTGAAAATCTCATGAAAATATGGATCTTCAGAAAAAAATGCCTATTCATACAGCATATGCATATAAGCTCAGTGGATCCACAGATTCCATGAAGCACGTGCATACTTCAGAACAAAAATTATGACCTAGGGAGACAAGAAAAGCAGAGAACGGCACAGAGTTAGGCACCAAATAAAGAGAAGCAAAATCCAGATGCAGATTATCTGTATGACAAACCTTTCTTATTGCTACAAATTGTTAAATCGGAGAGTCTTTACAACTTCAGACAGGAGTAGGCAATAGCATTTCTCATCTCTTGTCTTAAACAATATTCTTTAAAGATGAATTCCAGATTCAGAAATGCAGATGTGAACACCTGCATGGAAGTTTCAACAATTATAAAAGATATGAGCATAGTAGGTTCACAGTAGATGACATTCTTTAAATGAAATTTTGTCAAGCCAAGCTTTGTGATCTTGAAAGTCTGGTTTCTCATAATTTAGTGCGGAAAACATTAGAAGGAGAAGTTGCAGGGCGGAGTTGAGGGAGAGGGGTTGAGGTGTGAGGAAAAGACGGAGGAACAAGACAGGATCAAAGGAGAAGACAGTTCAAGCAACTGAACTGTCTCAACTTTAATCAGAATTTAATTTTTTAAAAAATTGAAAGGGAAAGTAGACAATCTTGCAGAATGACATCTGTGGGCTAACTTCAATAATCTACATCTAAAGAACAGTTGTCAATTTTTATTCATACTATATAACCCAAAGAACTAAAAGCTTACGTGTTAACAAACTTTTTTATATGCATAATTTACTATTCTGTCTATAACTAATCTATTCTTTCTACTGTGTCCCACATTGTTTATACAAGTAAATACCCAATCTAACCTAAACTTTAGTCTGACATCAAAAAAGAGCCCTTCAGGATATATTCAGTCTCTTAGATAAAAATGGTCAGTCTTGGGGCACCTGGGTGGCTCAGTCAGTTAAGCATCTGCCCTCAGCTCAGGTCATGATCCCAGGGTTCTGGGATTGAGCCCCGCATTGGGCTCCCTGCTCCTCGGGGAGCCTGCTTCTCCCTCTCCACCTGCTTGTGCTCTGTCTCTCTGTCTAAATAAATAAATAAACAAACAAATAAATAAATAAATCTTTTAAAAAAAAAAAAGGTCAGTCTTGCTAATAACTTTCCTCTAGCTGCTTCTCTCCAAATGACAAGACAGTTGTATTGTTCACACGCTTTGGACTAAAGGCAGAGCAAGACAATCTACAATTCTGGAATGTAGCTTCCTTATCAACCTACTGTCAGGCTCCTCTAGTCTCCAATATAAAAGCTGGTCCCTGGTAAACTTTTGGTCCATTCTTCCTTGCTTGGACCCTGTTTCTGTTCAGAGTTCAGGTCCAGAGGGTCTCATCTTATCTCCTCCACTTCACATGTTACTTTGTCTCCATCTCCTTGCCACAAGCATACAAGGACTGGGCAAGGGAGTTCTCCCTTTCCTCCTCTTTCTTCTACCTACCAAAATTTCCGCTATCTAAAACTCAGTGATCTAGCTTGCCAAACACTACTTCTCCCATGCTTAAAGGGATATAAACTTTAATTGATTCACCAAACAATAGCCTGGCTTGTGAGGCAACTTATAGGTGCAAACACCCTCTCTTTGAATTTCAGAACCTGAAACCTCTTCCGGGATTTCATGGGTGCTTAGGTGAATGAGAGTGAAGGAAGGCTTAGAAGGTCAAAAAAGGTATCATATAAAAATTTAATCTATTAACATTGTTCTATGTCCTAAGTCAACTCTCCCTGGTCCATCTGCACAATTAAGTAAAGCACTGTTTTGTAGCAAAAGTTAACTTATAGGAAGCATTGACCAAAGTAATAGAAGTGATACCAGCACCTGTCCTCTTCTCTACTTTCCTGCCCCCAGCTCCAAGGTATGCTGGGATGGATGCAGTACATAGCTAAAGCAAAGATCATTGTTTCTCCTGAAACAGAGATCAGCTTCTAACACTTTCAGTTCCGGGCAGGGGAGATCAGTGGAGCTGTGCTGAGTCTCAGGGCATCACCTTGACTGGAAGCAGAGGAACAATTAACACTATTTGAATTAGCCTCAGTCAATGTACAAAATTATATAGTCCCTCTCCCCGTGTCTGTTCATCAGAGCAGAACCTGTTTTTATAGTTCTCTCTCTCCCAAGGCTCTTAAAGCAGAATTATTTCCTTCTGAGACTCAGGAAGAAGAGACTCATATTGTCTATTAGCTCAACTACTTTATCTTACTTAGAAAGACAAATTTAACAAATCAGAACATTCTTCTATCTGAATCCTGTCTACCAGTACTATGTTATCTTTAATTCATGAGTGTATGTACTATCTGAACTTTGAACAGTAGGATGGTCTTGACTATTTTTTTTAATATCTAGGGGAAAATTCCCATACACAAATTAAAATCCTGTTTCACCTTTTTCATCCCAACTCTCAAACTGATATATTCAGACACAGAATCTTTAGAAATCAAAATAAGGTAAAAGAGATTAATGATGGGGAACAGAGAAAAAGAAGGCAAAGTTCAAGTCTCCTTTTCTAACCACCCTAGAAAAACTGGATGTTCTATGAAGGATGACATTTGAAAACATAGTAAGAGTGAAAAAACAATTTGCAGGTGTTGGGAATTGGGGCTAAGAGATGCTCCTATACATACCTAATAGTGAATGGAAAGAAGAAATTTTTTTTCTGGGTCAGGGTATGCTGGAAAACACTTTCAGGGGATATATCTTCATCTGTTTGAGCTGCTATAACAAAACACTATAGACAGGTGGCTTATAAACAACAGAAATTTATTTCTGACAGTTCTGGAGACTGGGAAGTCCAAGATGAAGGCACTGATAGATTCGGTGTCTATTGAGGGTCCACTTCCTCATAGATGGCTGCCTTTCACTGTACCTTCACATGGGGGAGGAGGCGAGAAACCTCTCTGGAATCTCTTAAATAAAGGAACTAATACATTCATAAAGACTGCACCCTCATGACCTGATCACCTCCTAATACCATCACACTGGGGATTAGGTCTCAACATAATCAATTTTAGGGGAATGGGAACATTCAGTCTGTGGCAGGATATTGGAGAAAAGAGATTTCAATTTGCTAGGATATGGTTTGCAAATTGATCATTACACCCAGAGATTTTGCTCCATAGTAATAGGGTTGTCATTGAGTAAGGTAAGTTGCCTGGCTTCTGTTGAAGTATTCTTTCCAAATATTTAAGCTTTTCACTATCTTTCTCACTAAATCCCTGTGAGAATTATTAATTTAATCTTTGCAAAGTATTGTTTCATAAAATTTCTGAAAACACAAAACACTTTCATGGCAAATTTTATTTTATGTACAAGTATCCCCTCAAGTATCTCTGAGCTTGTTGAAGGCACGTTAAGAGGTTTGCTATGTCATTGGCAAACACGAAGTGTTACATCTGGCATAACAGAGGGAGAAGGTGTAGAGGGGGAGGGAGAATAAAAGGATGAAAAGAACTAAATAACAGAGAGAAAGTGGGAAGGACAAAGGAAAGAAGGAACAAAAGAACAGGGTGGGAGGAAGAATAAGTAAATAGCAATGTCTTCTTTCTGACTTATATGAAATACTTAATCTTATATCAATTGCTGACAGAGAACTCCTCAGGGAGTAACTCACGGGACAGTGTGAAAAATAAACATCTTTTAAGCCAATAGAATTCCGAATACTTGAGAATGGTCAGATCTGGGTCTGAAGGAAATCCCTCAGATAACAGGTGTGCCCATAGCAGACCAAATCTGTTTTCACCAAGTAGTCCCAAATGTTTTCAGTGCCTCATGTGGTTGGGGATACATGCTAAGAATTGTCCAAATATTCCACATGTGCCACAGACGTTGTAGCTCTGGAAGCCTATTAAATTCACAGTTAATGCTAAAAGAACTGATGCTACAAAACAAAGACATCTGTACCCTTGGAGATGTGTGTGTGTGTGCATGAACACATGTGCGTAAACATGCGTTCACATAAGAGTATGCAAGCAAAAGGATAACTTCTTATTTTTATCACCTTTTGTCTATAATATTTAGTAATTTTGAACAGTTTTCTTCTGACTATGAAAATAAAACAGTGATTAAGGAATTTTGAAAAATACAGAAAATCACTAAAAGAAAAGAAATAAAAATCACCCATAATGTCATATACAAGAAATAAGCACTATTAATATTTTGGCATATATTTCCCAAGATTTTTTTCCACTGGGATTACACTGTGCTTAATATTTTATCAACTACTCATTCACATAATGTTAATCACCCTGAATATTATTGTCTGTCACGAAGTAGAAGTTCTTTTGCCATGCATTATTAATGCCTACAGGTATTCCCATCATACGGATATAAGGTCCTTTAATAATATTCCTTGGCTGCAAATGTGGGTTGTTTACCTATTTTTTTATGTTTTCTATTAAATATTAATGGTCTAATTCACATCCATCATTATTTCCTTAAGGCAAATTTTAGGAAATGAAATCAGTAGATCAAAAGATATTTTTTAAAAAATATTTTGATACATATTACCAAATTATTCTACATGTTATATCACTTTTACTTCCCTCTATAATGCATAACTCCCACTTACCTAAACTATTGACTACACTAGCTATCATTTTTCTTATTTTAAAATACAAAATACATAGATTTTTATTTTCTTTAATCGATTGTGAAGTTAAACTCCCATTCTTTTTTTTCCATTTTGTGTTGTTTTGTTGGCTTATGTCCTATTCATGTTTCTGTTATTTATGTTTTTATTGCTCATGCTTTCATGATTTTTTAAAAAGATTCTTTATTTAATGAGAATATTTACTTTTGGGGGATTTGGGGGAAATTTTCTGGAAAACATATCATTAAGTTGTTTTTTATTATAGTAAGGACATTTAACATGAGACCTACCCTTTTAACAAGGTTTGCTTTTTTTTTAAGATTTATTTATTTATGAGAGAGAGAGAGAGAGCAAGTGAGGGGGCAGAGGGACAGGGAGAGAATCTCAAGCCGACTCCATGCTTAGTGAGGAGTCCAACGTGGGGCTCGATCTCATGATTCCAAGATCACGACCTGAGCCAAAACCAAGAGTTGGATGCTTAACCAGCTGAGCCACCGAGGCTCCCTTAACAAGTTTTTAAGTGTAAAATACATTGGTGTTAATTACAGGCATGATGTTGTACAGCAGATCTCTAGAACTTATCGTTCTGCATAACTGAAACTTACATTTTTAAACTTGTATTCATAATATGTTGACATACAAAAATTTTTAGTTTTATGTAGGCAAATATGCCAATTACCATTGTTTTTTCTTATTATGGATTATAATTTGATGT